CATGTCACATAAATTAATTGAATGCGTGGTGTGCCTTTGGAAGAGCCTTTTTAGCCGCGGGGCGCCGTTGTTGCCCCAACAACAATCGCGCCGACTTCAGAGCCTAAGGCGACAGAGATTCCATCTTTCCACGCAAAAAATGGAAAGATGATAATAATGCACACCATTTTTCACTGTTTCACAAAGTTTCCTATTGCAAAACTGGACAGTCTTAACATTTTGCCTACAACCTCCTAGAAAGATAACTTTCAAGTACACTTTGTATTAACATTTATCTTGATAATTAAGATACATTTTTATTAATCGGATCATATCCACATTACTGTCCGTAACTCGGTTAGACACCATCCGATCCACACTTCGCGCAAGTGAGAATTATTATATATAATTCTGACTTGGTAGAAAGACTTCCACAGGAGGAAACCTCTTAGGTAAAGTCAATTCTTGCTGCATGCTTTCACATAATTATTTATCATTATGAGCATCTGAGCAAGAGGCGAAATTTGCATGCGCGAGAGAAATCGCTCATTAAGTCTTTATCATGTCCGATCGATGAAAATTATTTCTATGTTTCAAAAAATTAGAAGTATCGCAGAGGTGGCCACGAGTAGACTTACAATTTCCGAGGTGGGTTTTACTAAAAATAACGTAAAACATGAACTTTTTCTCATTGTTAACCACAAGGAAATTATCCATTCCAGTAAGCCTTTTTTAATGTCAGTTCTAAATGAAGTATTCAAATAGATTTGTTCACTTTTGATATACGTTTTGGAGAGAAAGTAAATGTCCAAAGAAGTATTAAAATGGAAATTTCAGACTTCGTGATAAGGGAAAAATATTGCCACCGATTTCATCACCCCAAATCAACACAAATTTGCTTATCCCACAAAATGGTTACAACCGAGAGAAACTTTTAATAGAAGATCAGTGGAGGTGCAAAACCTCATCTGACCAATAGAAAAATGTGTTTCAGTCGAGAAAACGGAACTGCACGGCTTTGAAAAGTAGAAGCGGGAGAGTGTAATGTATCTTCGAATAGTAATTGGGCACAGAAGAGATTAAACCAGCTTCGTGACAGGAGTGTGACAAGTTTGTGAGAACACACTGTTGGTATTTCTTTCGAAATCTGAATCACTACAAACATATTTGGTTTGTTAAATGCTCTGCTAAAGGAACGGGGAATAGGCGGGGAAGAACTGTTCAACTGAGATTTCCTTCCTGGAAGCATCGCATGGAGGAGCTTTTCTCAGAAATGATTCCTATCGAACGTCGCGTTTCTTCAAAGCTTGAAAACCTGTGAACTCCACCAAATCAAATACAGTTGCTTCAAGACATTTCTTTAATATTGCTTGATCGTGGGGAACCTGAAGGGTTTTTTAGGTGTATTTAAGACTTTCATTTAAATGTTTGTGATTTGTCACAACCCGTATGGAATGAGTGAAACGTTCTTTTCAAAGTGAGTATTGATAAAGTAACTGAAAGCTTCTTGAGTGAAAAATAAGGGGCAAATATTGCGTCTGAATGAAGGTCCATTGCAGCTAACAGAATGAATCTCGTAACCTGTTGACACAACCGTAGTCACCTTTTGTTTTCAGATGTCGATCGTGCATTCCCTTTTATATGCATCTGGTTGCTGTGAGTAATTCTTCCACGCAATTCTCGTTATTGAAAAAAGAAAACTTACTCTATTATGTGACCCTTACTGATTTTCGAGTACGGTCATTGATTTGTGAAATAAGTGTTAATTTTGAATAACTAATACTCTAGAAAGGAAGAAATGTGCACAAAATGATAAATATAGGATCCTTCCATCGTTAGCGGCTACGCTCTTACCGCGGGACTCGCGGCATGCGGGTAGCCAGTGGTCTCCTACCTTTCTCCGCACGGGGCCACGCAGAGCGCGCGCATGTGGCGCCCCGAACGGGCGGGAGGCTTACACGGGGACGTCTCCTGCGCTGGGGGTCGACAACCCGCGGAAGTGGCAGTGGCGGTGGCGGCGCTGCGCGCACCTCACCCCTTGCTTGGCACCGTTCCTCCCCGTCCCGCCCATCCCGGCCTTGCGCCGCGCTGCCGCTCGCGCGTCATCCGGAAGCAACGCCCATCTTTGCGCCCATCCGCCCCGCCCCGCCCCGCCCCGCCCAACCGCACGGCTCCTTCGCGCATGGCGCTCCCCATTCCTCGAGTGGAACTGGGATATCCGCGGCGGTCGTAGTTAAGAAAGCGTGTAGGCGGTCCGGATTTTTTCGATCGCTTATTTTGTTCCCCTGGAGTCTCCTGTGAGTTCACTCTGATACTTGAATAATCTGTCAGGGTGGGTCTCGCGCAAATAAAGCCCGTGAGTCAAATTGTTACTGATGTGACATTAAATTTAATTTAGGGATCATTTGAAGTGACGCTATTTCCATGCGAATTTGTTTATTTTTTCACTACACTGGGCGTTATATCCTGAAGCCCAGCGCTTTGCTTGAATAATAATGCTAGTTGTTACGAGTTCATTGGCACGTCGATCAATGTGATTACATTGCAGAATATCCAGTGAATAGAGTTATGCAGAAACCGCTCTTAACAGCTGAGCATTATTCCTTCTATTTTTTTATGCTTTCAAGCAATGTTAGCATGCTGCTCCTCTCTGCAGGCAAGAAAACTAAACTCGCATTACTATTTTTACATTCTTGGTTGCAGAAAGTGATCAATGATTATATGTATTATTTCAGTGAATTATGAACAACTGATGTGAATTGAAATAAATATACATCCCTTTTTATTGTCGCCGTGCATCCTCGCTGCTCGAAAGTGTAAGAACTTTCGAAGCCATTTTTCAGTCACATTTATTCTTTTGGCTTGGGTGCATAATTCATTCAACTTGACATTTTATTTTATTTGGAATGCGAGATAATGCACGTTCCTGGCCATTCAGGAGTGGGAGTAGCCACAAGGGCTAAACCCTTCAAAATGTTAGGGTCCAGATGTCTCATTTTATAAATTTTCAGATTAAAGCCCGCAACTCTTAAATTCCGTGAAGCATAAAAAATCAAGTTTTAAGGACTAGGTGGATGTATGCACAGTTTTAGATACTCTCAATGCATGCCAATAATTATGTGCTGCGGGCTGTAGAGTGAAGTTTAGCCCGCTTATTTGAAATTATCAACATTTTACATGCAATTTTTTACAAAGAGAGACGTTCTGGACGACTTCAGAATGATATTCCGTTTGAGTAAGAGAGTAACGCTATTGCGACCAGAAAGAACAAACTTGTTTGATAGTTTCGCGTAATAATACATATGATTCAATTGTCCTATGGAAGCATTTTTGCGGGCTCGGTCCAGATGAGAGCTTCGCGGGTTCTGCGCGTCGACACTCGTGCCGCGCGGTCCCGCTGCTCCGCACCCGCCTCCGTCGTCCGTTGCGCGTTCCGCTTCGTCGTGGCGTCCTCCATTCTCCGGCATACCGCCCCGTTCGGAGACCGACACCAATCCTTTGCTCTGTGACTGTCCAAAACGCCTTATGTTACTACCATCATCCAACACCCCGACAGAAGGAAGTAGCAGTGCACTCCATTTTGTGTATTGAAAACTCAAAATGGGCGGGCTTTTGGAAAAAGAAATGTTTTTCTGAAATACTTAATTGTTGACAAGATTTCTTAAGTATGATCGTCACCTGCGATATTTCTGTTTTTCTTCACCAGCAATGTGTACTAGTATTTATTCTGTTCGTTTTAATTCGATTCACTACTATAAATATACTTGTTTTCAATGCAATGACGTTTTGTTTAAACTAAGTTTCACAATGTTATTTTTCAACTATTTAAAGAAAACTTTCGTATTTTATTCATAATTATTTTTATTTATGTGCTTCATCAGTCATCCAACATTTCTGGTACAGGAAGACCTCTTACGAATGGTTTAAAACACTTTTTATTTATAATTTTTTACTATATATAATTTAATACTACATACAATTATATAAGGAGCGGTAATCGCGGTCATGAAAACTGTTCAAAGGATTGGTTATCTCAGTAGTTTAGAGGTTAGAGCAGCTGGGCGTAAACCAGATGGCCCGAGTTAGAGTCCCGGTCGAAAATTCTTTGAAAAAAATTAATTATTATAAATTTTTAGTTGAAATAAACACATTTGCGTATTACGTACGTAAGATATTCTTTGGGTTTCTGAATAAGTTAATGATTTCAGCACAAATGCATAACTTTGAAAGAGCCCATTTTTTAAAAACAGCTGTCTCTTTGTTGTGATTGGATTAAAATCTTACTCGCACGAGAGGAAACATTCTCGAAGTCGACTATTCCCGCGCGTCCCGCTTTGCCTTGAGGGCTCCGCGCTCACAGCAGATACCCGCGGCAGTGTTCCCCGGGGCAATCTCTCTGGGGCGGATGTTTTATGCGCGGGCCGCTTTGCGCTAGCGTCCCATTGTACGTGCCTGTGGGCAGTTCCCCTCCCGACATACATTAGTGGTATTGCTTCTGTGTCGTTGCCTCACGTCAGATCGCGTTGTGCACGCCGTAACGGCCACCGATCATCCGCGCCGCTCGTGTCGTTTCGGAGGCTGAAAAATAATGTACATTTGCTTAGGTTATTACGAGATAGTATCATGGTATCATTGCTCGGTTGGAATCTTCAAACATTAGTTTGTATTTCTTCTCTACTTGGTAATGAAATTTTTTTATTCAATCAATTGTACGAGTTTTATATTATATGCATGTTAAGAATTGCTTATTTTCGAGCCTATATATTGTACCAGCATATGTGAAACGAAAAACGAAAAGTAATTAAATAATTCAATACATTTACATTTACAACTCGTCTAATATTACTTCAAGGGTGTGATACACTTGGTAAATTTCGTCCGTCTTGGTTTCCAATGCTAAAATTATTCTTCGTGTACAGTTCCGAGGTGAAATGTGATAATGACTTCGTGGTGCAACTGACGTTTTATTTTACTGTTGCTAAGTTTTGGAGTCATCAAACAGCGTTCTCTGGTTGTGACAGGTGACTCATCGCAGCACGGGGCAGGTGATGGTGCTCAAGATGAATCTGCTGCGTTCCAACAGGCCCAACATGCTCAAGGAGGTGCAGCTCATGAACAAGCTCTCGCATCCCAACATCCTGCGGTGAGTGAATTGTAGCTCTGGCCGCACAAACGCAGACAGTGAGCGAAGTTACTGTGTTAATTGTATCTTACCACAGTGTGTCTACGGCATGTACGGGGGTCGAAATGAACTCTTTTTGCTACTGAACTTTTCGTTTAACAAAGTTACATATGATATTTATTTCTGATTCTTAGGCAACTTCGCATGTAGTTGAGTGAGGCACGTCACGTTCTGACTCGGTCAAATTCTATTCTTTTACTAACTGAACACCAGTAAATGAGGACTTGCTTAACAATTAGGAGTACATGTCACATGTGTAATTTCATTATAAGAAACTGGAGTTATCCATCAAATATGACGGGACAATATCAAACTCCCATATTAATCATTCATTAGTGAATAGTAGAAAACCATTTACTTTCTTTAATTCTAAATTGAAACTTTTTCCAGTTTAAAATTTCCTTTTAATAGCAGTTAGTTTCTCAAACTGGGGACCGGAAAGCGATTTTAGGGAGACCCTTTCTTGAACCTGATCGTGCCTTTGCAATTTAGCTCTTGTAGATTTTCCCCAAGCACCAATGTCGTCATTCCTAGTGTCGGTCGCGGACAGGAATATTTAATTTACTTTTGCAGATCTCTAGTACCAAAGCGTACTATTGCCCAGGCGTGCGCACGACGCCGAATTCCCGCACAAACTTGCAAGAGTGATTCCTTACCCTTCTAAGATGTCACTCAAACTGCGAAACCGATTTAAACTCAGCGAAAACTTAAATTCTACCACTAGGTGTCGTTCAAATAGCACCACATTTTATACTGACCCCGGTCGTTTTTTATTAATACTTCTCGAGACACTTTCCTATATTTTTTTTTGCATTACTCTTAAAATTCAAGAACGATTAAAAAAGTTTTTTTTATCTTTAGTTGCCAAAACGTATTAATACGATCTCGGGTACGCAGGAAGTTAAAAGTTTCTCGTCACATTCATTGTAAAAAAGTGATTTATCTTTGACCCCTCTTCATGCCCTTGAAGTTGCGTCATTTATTCTGAGGTCTCTTAGACAAATTTTGTATTTTATCAATTTTTATTGCACTGTGTACGTTTGAAAAATTAAAACTCAACTACCACCATCATTTCGGCAGTTAAAATGGAAACTAGTGATGCTACATCAGCACATACTTCCTCGCATTATTGGAAAGATTTACGTAGTACAGAAGTAGTACAATTTCTGCGCTACTAGCCTCTTAGCTATTGTTTAAAAATGTCCAATTCAAACAATGCATCATTATTTGCAGCACATAATCCAAAAAATCAAGTTTGCTTTGAGTACACTGAACTTAGCTTTCAATAATCACTGTAAGTGATTATTGAATTGTCTTACTGTAAGTGTTAGTGTTAAGGCTAAATGCACCGAAAAATACTTGTAGGAAAATTCAATAGATCGCAGCACTATCACAGGGGAATTTACTGTACCGGTAACGTCTGAACCAATGGTCCGATTTTCGATCTGTAAACGACATTTGACGCCTTTTTAAAATATAATTTACGCTGCGAAGACCTTTTTCCAAAAATCTAGCAAAATCTCGAATTTGAAATTAATTCTCAAACTTCCGAGAAAAAAATTAAAAATGTGGGCTTATAGCGCGATGGCGACATGCTTCCTGAATCCAACGCCGTGACAATCATGCAAATCGGACGAATAGGAGCGTCGTAAAGTGAAATTTACGAAAACATCTCGCCCCCCTTGCCCTTCTTCGCCGTTGCGTCACCCACCCGATTGTTGTGGGCCCTCTGTCGGCGCGGGGGCACGACCAGGCCAGGCGGCGTGCGGCCAGCCCCGGCGGAGCAGGCGGGACTTGCGGGATACGCAAGCCAGCCAGTCAGTCGATTTCGGCTTCGTCTCTTTGCATCTCAGTCTATTTGTCCACATATACCAAAATAGAGATGCTATACTACTATTACTGACTGAGGTAAACAGTCTGTAATAGTAGTAGATGACTATATTTTTCATATATTTCCGTCCTCCTTCGAATACCATTTTAAAATTGTTTGAGGCAACACTCAAAATATCGATTCCGATTTGGAACTGTTTTTTAAAAAAATGAACTAATTTTGTAAATATAGCCATTATTCCATCTCCTCACATCCTTTGTTTTTGAACCCAAACATCGTGAGGAACGTCACTGGCTTCAGTTCTTTCGTAATTTCTAATTTAATCATTATCTCGGAAATGTACTTTCTGCCGCAACGGGAAAACTGGAGCTTTTTAGTGCTATGCATATTTGGCGAAATTTCTTCAATTAGGCGGGTAAATGACGTCGACGTGCAGGAAGAAAATCAATTGCACGGAATTCGTTGTTTCCCTGGAGGATTTCGGATGATGCAGTGCTTTTTTAGTTTGTCTATGTTGATGTCTTCTGAAAGATATGTCCTACGCTCTGGAGTTGTAGTTCTGAAATTCTTGCAAATGTGTAGCTGTAATGAAATGTCAGAGCCAGCTTTTTATTTTCATTTAAACGGGCGTGTAATCTGTAGCAGAGTTCACACATCACTTTGCTTCTCACAAGTCACTTTGTAATGAAAAAATTCCACAACTGCGCCGCAACAAACAAACGATGATAATAAGTTAGACCGCGTGATTTCATGCAATTGCATAATTTTACTGATTGTGCATATCTAAAGGAAATGTATATAACTTTACCCATCACCGAATATAAAACTAAAGTAACTGATTATTATTTCGCATAATTGCATTTTTCTCAGATTTTTTTTTCTTTTTAACTGCATATTTTCATTTTTGCAATATATTTAAGTGCATATATTGCAGATTTTGTGCAGAAGTGGGCCAAAATCGGAAATTTTCGTGTATTTTTCCTTCAAAAGGAAAGCCAATTACACCAGACCAATGCTACAATACCAACATCGTTGGGCATTGTTGTAGAGTCATTGCTTCAGTCCAGTGTGGTATTCCTTGAAAGCTAGCAATTTTTATTATTTCATATATTTAAAATTGGTTTAAAATAATTTTAAAATAATTTTTAAAAGTTTAATGTGTAAGTATAACAAATGATCGAATATAAGAAGCTAAGAAATGAGCAAAGAAATATAAAATAATATACAAATTCTAACGTTCACGAAGCGGCTTAAATTCGGACCAGAAATTATTTTTATCTCCAAACTACATAAAGAATTCTATTAAAAAACTTGAACAAAACCTTATTTGAAGATCTATTTATGAATACATTTCGTTAAGGGGAATTAATGGTATCCTAAAAATTGTAGGTGTAGGAAGACGCCAAAATTTCTTTAATTTTTGACGAACATGATTTCTACATCGTTTTCTTAAACGCCCTTTAGACTATCCCACTACAAAATTTCATCAATGACGATAGGCTTTTTGAGGGGGAGAATGTTTAAACAATTAAAAATTGCCTTGATTTCACATATTACGTGAAAAATACATTTTCAAAAAAAACTGTACATGACCTTCAGAATCTTTAATATTTTAGTTGTAGAAAGACGTAGGGTGTTTTTTTTATTATTATTAATTTTTTTTTAAATAACGAAAATGAAACCTGCACCTTTCTCTTAAACAAGCTTTACACTATTCAACAACAAAATGTAATTTAAAACGATGGACCCATTTTTTAATTTTTTTTTTTAAATGTCCCGTGTGATTCATGTAATGTACCCGCAAAATTAAAATTTCAAATTCAAGGGGCCGCGACATCAGCCAGATCGATTAGAGAATGTCAATTTTGGAGATCAGCTGAACGGTTTAGCCGCTAGCGTTGTAAACGTCAAATTTGGACCTCCCGTTAACTCATTTCGAACTTTCTCGAATACACTTCGGGGTTTGCGAGGTGAAATATCATCACGGTGAACATTTCTGCATGCTCCATTGATCATCGCGGAAAAGGCAAATTTCCTTTGTCCCCTCGAACTTCGAAATTTTGTATGGATTACAAAAGAAAAAAACTATTGTTATATGTAGTTAAATAAGGGGGAGAAATAGTCTAATGCATCTTGTGCGTAATCGTAACAAGACAAGTATTGAGATTCCCAATTGCAAATAATAATAATAATAATAATAATAATAATAATAATATAAATAATAGTAATTTGTTTACAAAGTTGATTATGCATTTCTGTAAAAAATAAATAAAATCCATCGGAGATGTATGTCCATCACTACCAGAATATGAAATTAGCGTTGCGAGTAAAGTACGCATTTCGCAAAAATCAAAATATTTGTTTAGATCGTTTTCTATTTTTATTTTTTCAGAAATCATATTGCAGCTGTGATGGTACAAGTAATATGCATAAAAACTACAAATGAGGTCGTGATTATAAATTCCCTATTTCATGTACAAACTAAGTGCATCAGATTCAAGAATGAAAATGAATGTGAGAGGCACAAAGAAATTAAATAAATATCATTATAATTTCATATAATTTACAACAAATTATCCTGCAGAACGTCGATCCGCCAAAATTGAACGGGCACAAAACGCATTAAATTTTTGGATGTCTAGTTTCGATATCTGAAAGACATAATTTAAGATTAGAAGGCAGAATTCCAACTACGGAAATGCATTCTTCCGTACGGTAGCTATTGAAAAGGTGAATAATTTTATCGCAAGAGCAGATCAACATTTAACGATAATGAACGAGTATTCTATTGCCCGGATTAAATGTGTTGGCGAACATATGACCGTAACTAAGCAGAACATGATCTCGCTGGTGAATTCGTATTTTGCGGGGGTCTCAGTGATCTTGTATTTTGCGAGGGGGGGGGGGGACGGATCAAGGAACCGTGAGGTATGAAGAGTGAAGTCATGCTTACCGCGACGACTCTGTGGTTGAGAAACACTGCCGGTGGAGCGTGCTCCGGGTGTGACCTAGCAATGAAAAGCCGTTCCCGCTCCGGTACGTGCACTGGAGCGAAACAGAAGATGCGCCACGGCGGGTGTGTGGCGATTGTTAGATAAGCGCTAAGAGCGGATGGGCATGGGCGAGGTCT